CCACAGGAATCCTGTAAAACCTCGCTGCTGTGCCTGTGTGGACAAACGCTGTAGAGGGGTTTTTGTCTTCCTGCTTATCTACGCCCCAGTTCACGTGAAAAAGGTTGCTGACTCCCCAGGTCTAATTTTCTTGTATTAATACCTCTACACCAAAGCCCGCTGAGGCTGGGGTTCAAACGCTGAAAGAAACTATTTGATCTCTCTCTGTAAGAGTACATCTAGAACCAGATTAAAAATTTAGGTAGGGTTAGTTTTGGGAGTTAGTGGTTGACGGTCACGTCGAGTCGAATGTGAGTTCGACTCGAACATCGGCAGTTCGTGTGTTCGCCCGCTGAATATCCCGCAACGTGCTGGTTGCATTGGAGAGCCTTGATTGGGTAAACCAATGCACCTGACCACAGGTCAGGTGCAAGACTTTGCCCATTCAGGGCACAGGGCTCTGTATGAACCATGATTGGGCAAAGTAATGATGACTTTGCCCAATCATGGCTCACAGCTAAGTCCCAGCCCCACACTATGTAAGGTTGCTTACACGGCAGCCTTATGTAGTGTGTTGCTGGAGTAAAAAATAGAATGTTTCTGACAGTGCACAGTGTAGTGTAGTGTAAGCTAACTGGTGTCAGTGCTTTATACAGCATTTAATGCATAATATAATACTAGTAACAGGTGACAGCGGAATATTTAGTAGCAAGGAAATGTCACGGAACACCTGAATACAATGATTGGGAGGAGTGGTGAGGGGGGGTGTTCGGCTCATCACTAAGGCTGGGCACACACCTTACAACCATCCCAAGACTTTTGTCTTGCGATGGTTGTAAGGTACTTAGAAAAACGTACGATCTGCCTATCTTGCATAGGCAGATCGTACTTGCGATGATCGCAAGCCACGCCCCCTGAGGGCGCTTGCGCACACCGGCCCGTCCGGCTTTTATCTTACGAACATGCTACACACCCGCCGAACATCGTACGATGCTCGGCGGGTTTTCGAACATGTTCGTAAGTTTAAAGTCGTGCGACCGTACAGTAGTAGAGGTCGCACGGCTTCCACACACCTTACGATAATCGCACGATCGCAGGATTTCCCTCGATTAACGTACGATTATCGCAAGGTGTGTGGGGACCTTAATAAAGACCAGACGAGTGCACAATCTGCTCGGAGTAAGCAGACCCTGTCTGCCCAACACGTCACTCCTTCACTCCAATGAAGACATTCTCTTCATCTCTTATGGTCTGATGATATCCCTATTGTACTGAAAGATATGTAGAGATACAAAAGGCGGAGGCGTGGGGCTTTCTGTGCAACGAATATTGACACTTAAACATGTAACTACTATTAGTTATGGAGCTATGAATTATTTTATATGCAGATTTTATGATGAGTACAAATGACTTTTAACATGGTCTTAATGAATAAACTGAAAAATTATTTGTACATGAGTCAAGTTAATCTTTAACAGGACTATTCACAAAAGGGAGAAGAGTTTGGAGAAGGCAGGAGAAGTGAACAATCTAGGACAACATAGCTGAACTGGAAAGTGAGCTGAATTGGAGAATGTTTCCAAATCAGCTATGTCCTAGATTGTTCCCTTCTCCGGCCTTCTCCAAACTCTTCACCCTTTAGTGAATAGCCCTGTAAGTTTTTTTTTACTGAAGTTAATATTAACTGTCACCCAAAAAGTGCTACCCATGTGGGGTTTTTTCAAGTTCATCTGTTATAAAGAGACAACTTAGTTTGCTACAGCACTGTGCAATCAAAACTAATTTCTATTTTACACTTATTCTAAAAAAAATACTCTTTTCCACCTTTTTTACTTATTTATTTTTTTCTTATTATTTTTTTACTTTGTAATCACATTTTTTTTTAAATTATTATTTCTTATTTTTTACTTTCGTAAAAAATGTTATTTATTTAATTATTTTTGATCAATTTTTTGTAAAAAATTTTTTCACTTAACTTTATTGCTATCGCACAGGAGCTAACAAGCTCCTGTGTGATAGCATTTGGAGGTGACAAGTTTTCTTTATTGAACCTGTCACCTCCAATACAGGAGTTCTAGCACAGCACCACTGTGCTGGAACTCCTGTGACAGCTGAGGGGCGGGAAGGATGCGAGTGTAGCTCTCCCTTCTCACTGTTTACATGGAGCAGAGCGGATAACAGATGTTCTCCGCTCTGCTCCCCACACTCCATCCTAAAGATCTCCAGTGAGGAGAGAGGTACACGGCAGCGGGGGGAGGATGGTCCTGCAGTCTTATTAAAAGCGATCTTGACGACATCGCTGAGATCACTTGTAAATGAACGAGCAGCTTCCCCGCTCTACATTTATCCCTGCTTGCCTAAAACAGGGCTGAGAACGCACGTTCTCTGCTCTGCTCTCCATCCTGAAGATCTCCAGGGAGAGGTGGCCAGCGAGGAGTGAGGTACACGGCGGCAGGGGGGGAGGACGGACCTGCAGTCTTATTACAACAGACTGCAGGTCCGTCTACATTGCCGAGATAACTTGCAAATGACCGAGAATATCACTTGTAAACGAACGAGCGGCTTCCCCGCTCTACATTTAGCTCTGCTTGCCTAAAACAGGGCTAAATTTACAAAACAACTACCTGCCCGGCGCCCGGAACTACATATACCGGGCGTCGGGAGATTCCACACCCCTGCCGCCCCTCTGCTCCCTGCCGCCTCGAGGACGGGCCTCGGTGGCCTTGTGGCAAATCTGGCCCTGAACATAACTAAATGATGCGTTCAATGTACAGGATCATATTTAGGGTCTCCCGCTGGACTGCCTATTTAAACCAGAGTTTCACCAAGGGAAGTTGCTGAGTGGTCGTCATCTTCTGCTTCCTGTGACCTGACCTGTGCGCTTCTCCTGTGATTTGACCCTGCTTGTTTTGACTCTATGATATCTCAATCCCTTGGCCTGACACCGGCTTTGTATCCTGACTATGCTTCCTGGATGCCATTTTGTACCTTCTTTGCTCGGCTGTGCTTGACTTTGGCTTGCTTCATGACTTTGTTCCGGGCTTACTCCCTTGTACCCCGGTTGCCTGGCTATGATTGACCTTTGGCTTGCTTTTGACCCTGTTGCATCTGAACCATCTACAGCCACTCGTGCTTCTCTGAGTTCCGACTTACCCTGTCCCAACTCCAGGGATTGCTGGACAGGAGGTGCAAGGGAAGCCCCCCCATCACTCAGTCTCCACCAGGTACGTGACAAAGTCTTGGTTGGCTGAAATATTGAACTCACCCCAACTGGAGATAAACAAAGGCACAGTGTTTTGGAGACCAATACTTTTATTTGCCGCCTGTCACAATACCCAATCTTGCATCAACTTTCACAAAATGATATAGTTTTGTATGCATCTACGACACACCTCATCTCTTATTCCATAAATTAAACCGTATGTATACCAGGAGGCTGCCATTTGAAATCCAACCTCTTACACACCTCGTTCCTTTAAACTTTGCATTAGTACAGTTATCCCACAAATGGCTAAAATACCTTTTATATCAATGACTTATGAGAGGGACAAGGGCAAAGCCTAGTATAATCATCTGATTTTTCAGGACTCCAAAGAGAGCTAGTTATGAGCTTTGGGCTCAGGTCAGCCATGAGCTCAACCCAAACCGAAGATGTTAGCAGTTCAAGGAATGGGTGAACAGTTTGCCCCGCCCTCCGCACCTCTGTCTTTGTCCTGGTAACCAATGATGCTGTGGGACCCATACAGTGTGATTGGTTCCTAGGATGTTAAAGGAGAACTATGGGGTTAAGTGTTTTTCCCCATAGTTCTAAGAGTCACAGGAGGACACAAACTAATTTCCTCCCGTGACCCAACGCTCAGTATACCGCGATCTACATCTTGCCATATACTGACCGCCGCAGCCGGAACGGATCCCGACATTACTGTCAAGATCCACCCAGCTGCGTGATTGACAGCTGGCTCTGCCTATCTAGAGGCAGAGCCAGCTGTACCCGCCCCCTCCCCCATCCGTTCCGCCAGTCAGCACTGGAGGAGCGGGGAGGGGGGGAATCCCTGCAGGGAGCCGTGAGTGACAGTCACGGCTCTCTGAAGGGACAGGATCGAGAAGTGAGCGAGTGATGGTATGTATTCGCTCACTTCCCGATCTATTGAGCCGCCCTGTGACAGTTTCGTAGTCACAGGTCGGCTAGAACTATGAGGTGAGTGAAAATCACTCGCCTCATAGTTCTCCTTTAATGGCCGGCCACACAGCATCATTGGTTGCTATGGTGTGCCCACCTGCACCCTAGCTACAATTGATGCTGTACAGCCCAGCCGCTAGCATCATGGTTGTGATGGTGTGGCTACCTGCATTCTAGCAGCCAGAGATGCTATGCAGGTTGCTAGAACACACGTGGTCTTGGGTTCAGTTTTCTTGGATGTTCCAGGAACCCAGATGTCTCGCTGTTAGGCAAACGTCCAAGTGAACCAAACCCAGGCACAACCGCCCCATAACTAGATAGAACAAATGACAGTGAGGCTCCATGAAGGAGCCACTGTCAGTCATTTGCTTTGATCTGCCCCATGTGGCTGTGCTACCTGTGACACAGGAAGCAGAGACCATCATGGGGCACAGTAAGGCAATGACAAGGCCCTTTTTTTTGGTCACAGGTCTGGAGCATCAACAATGCAGAGGCAACGCTACAGAGGCTAGAAATGCTGCAGATTGTTGTCACTGCAAAGGAACCAGATTGAGGGGAATTTATCAAAACTGGAGCAAACAAAAACTGGAGCAGATGTGCACGGCAACCAATCAGCTTCTCTCTTCAGCTTGCTCAGTTAAGATTTGAAAATGAAAGCGAGAAGCTGATTGGTTGCCATGCACATCGGCTCCAGTTTTGATTCCCTCCATTGAGTCAGTGGTACAATCAACAGGTATTTTCACCAAAGTGCAAACTGTATACTTTAAAAAAATGGCGCACACTGTTGTTACATTGTATTCGGGACACTGTAAGTAATTTTTATTTTAGGTTTACTGACACCTCAAGGGACTAAGGGACTAATGTGGTAAAGCTTTCTTATGTATTTACGAAACACCTCATCTCTCATTCCATAAATTAAGGGACTTAGAAATCTAGGCAAACATGTAAATATTAGAAAACCAGATACGCGCAGAGTAGTATTATAATCCGCAATGGTTGTTTCTAGAACAGTAGAGATGAAAGCTACCATGCAAAGCATAAGCTGGAACACATGGAGCAAGACCGTCTTTGCAGCCTTGAGGGCAGAGGATTCCTGTGAGCCCAATCTCTTGGCTACCAGCATGACTTTCACGTAGGTGAATAAAATGATTAAGGCCACAAGGGTGAAACTGAGAATATGGACAAATGAACGGATGACATTTTGTAAGGGGCTGATGGTTAACATTAGATGGGTACAGAGTACAGCACGGGAAAAGAAATTCCTTTCCACCGAGTACACAATGGTTACAAAGTCTGCAATGCTTGGGCTAAATCCTACCGCCCAAATCACCACCATGGCTGATTTAGCTCTTCTCGCTGTACAGAACTCAAAGTGTCTCAGCGGGAAGCATATGGCTACGTATCGTTCCAGAGACATGACAGCCAAATTATACGGCGTGACCCGAAAGGAAGTCGCCGCAGCGGCAAGAATAAATAAACAAAAGGGGGTGGGGAAATATACATCGTTTAGAATGGAAAACAAGACTAAAGTTCCCAAGGTAAGATATAACGTGTCAGTGATGAGAATGTGAGCGAAGAGAATGTAGCGAGAGTTCTCCTGGATGTGAGGAGTGGTGAAGAAGACACTGAGAAGAGCTCCGTTGAAGCAAAGGAAGAGGAGGAAAGTTATTAGAGTCACCATCATGAGGATCGTACGGAATAGCAAATCATACTTCTCCGACTGGATTAACACATGTGTCACGTTGCCTTGGACTAATGTTATATTCATGGCTCGAGTCCAATCTTCTTTAAATTTTCAGATTTCAAAAGGGATGAAATATAAACGGAGCAGTTTGATGGATCTGTGAAAAGGTTCAAATCATCATTACTGATACTGGAGATAAAACAAGGCATGCACCGTACATCATACCTAAGATACCTTTTGGAAAATAGGTCTAGGTTCAGCAACGTTGAGGTCAGCTGTCTACCTGAATATACTGAATGACCAGGTTTTGCCATCAATGGATTTTTTTTTACCCTGATTGGACATATTCCAAGATGACAATGCCGGGATTCATCGGGCTCAGATTGTGAAAGAGTGGTTCAGGGAGCATGAGACATCATTGTCACACATGGATTGGCCACCACAGAGTCCAGACCTTAACCCCATTGAGAATCTTTGGGATGTGCTGGAGAAGACTTTACGGCAGTGGTCTGGATGAAAAATGAATGCAACTTGGAAATAAATGTGGCATTGCATGAAATTATTGAAATGAGACCATGGCGAATGCGTGCCATAATCAAAGCTAAAGGTGGTCCAATGAAATATTACACTGTGTGGGTTTTTTTTGGACACGCAATGTATAAAGCTAAAATAAGCCTTTCTAAGGGCAAATGGTTGGAGTAAATCAATTCAACAACCATCTAACAGTGATTCATAATTCATGACGCTTACAAAGTTCCACCATTTTTGTACATCCATATGTCTGGGGTTTTTTTTTTGAGCTAGTATATCTTTATTGTTTTGCATAAAACATACAGTGACTCAAAAGGATAGCAGGCTTCAAACAGTAATGTACAGCCATACAGTCCAAGTAAACATGTCATCCATATGTCTGTTTTTATATTAGAATTTATTGCATACTCTGGTACTGGTCCAACACATTTCCACTTCTTCAAAGGAGCATATGCAAATAACACAATAAGAGTATCAGTGTTGGCTGTAGATGTCTCCCTTAAAGGAGAACTATGAGGGGGGGTGCTTTTCACTCATCCTCATAGTTCTAGCCGACCTGTGACAATGAGACTGTCACAGGTCCGCTCAGTAGATTGGGAAGTGAGCGAACACATACCGTAGTTCGCTCACCTCTCGATCCTGTCACAGCTCTCTGCCGTGACAGGGGAGGGACTGGATTCCCCCCTCCCCGCTCCGATCCACCAGCGCTGACTGGCAGAACAGAGGGGAGGGGGCGGGTACAGCTGGCTCTGCCTCTAGATAGGCAGAGCCAGCTGTCACTCACGCAGTTGGGCGGATCCAGACATAATTGTCCAGATCCGCTTCAGCTGCGGCGTCTCAGTATACCGCCAGCTGTAGCTGGCGGTATACTGAGCTTAGGGTGACGGGAGGACGCTAGTTTGTGTCCTCCCGTTACCCTAAGGAGAACTATGGTGAAAAGCCCTAACTCCATAGTTCTCCTTTAACAAAGAGCATGCCACCCCCTAGTCTGGTATTATAGAATGTGGTACAGAGAAGACAAGGGAGCTTGTCCTCCAGAGATGTCCACCAGGGGGCAAGCACGGATTCCCCACAAGGCCACCGAGGGGCGGCAGCTTGTGTGGAATACCCCGACCCCCGAAACATGAAGTTCCGGGCGCCGGGCGGTAAGTTGCTTTCTACATTTAGCCCTGCTTTGGGAAAGCAGGTCCCCTCCCCCCCGTACTTACCTCTCTCCTCGCTGGCTCCGTCTTCCGGGCTCCGCCGCCAAGTCTGTCTCCTCACTGGCCGCCGCTGCGGTGAGCAGAGCGGCAGGGTTAAAAGGTAATCCTGCCGCTCCCAGTAGACAGTGAGTGGCGAGAAGCTGTGCTCTTCCTCTCTCACTTGTCACAGGAGTTCCAGCACAGTGCTGTTCTAGAACTCCTGTATTGGAGGTGTCAGTGTCAATAAAGAGAACCTGTCACCTCCAGGCGGCCCTCCAGCGTGACCTGCGTAAGGTACGGCAGGATATCCAGTCGGTCTCTACAGAGGTAGCCGCAGTATCCACCACGTGTGCGGCCATGGAAGCCAGGGTTCAGGCCTTAGTGCACACGCATCTGGAGGCCTCACCACTTATTGCGGCCCTCCAACTGCGTATGGAAGACCTCGAGGACCACAACCGGCGCCAGAACGTGATAAACCAACCCTGAGGACCTCCGCTCCACGGTGCAAGCTATCTTTGACTCCCTACTCCCCGATACGGCCCTGGACTCCATCTTACTGGATAGGGTGCACCACACTCTAGGCCCACCGTCTCTGGACGCATCGCGCCCAAAGATATCATCTGCCGTCTTCAATACTGAAGTAGGACATTCTACGCCAGGCATGGCTGAAGAAACCGGTCGAATTCGATGGAGCGGCCCTGCAGGTTCTGCCAGACCTCTCACGCAACACCCTACGGCGCTGGGCCTTGCTTCGCCCCCTCCTCTCGCTGATCCTCCAGGCCGGCGCCTCCTACAGATGGGGATACCCCATCCGCTTGCATGTCCGCAAGGAAGGCGCCTCGTTCACGGTCCGTTCCCCGGCTGATGTGCAGGCCTATGTGAGTTGCTCCAGATACCTCCGGTACGACTGCCAGACTGGCTTGCCCACCTCCCTGATGAGACCCCGATGTCCCCCAAGCCCCGCCGGGCTCGGCGGCCTACCCGACCATCGTCCACTGCCCCTCCTGTCCGGCAGAGGGACGACCCTCCCAGCTCCGCTGAGCTTTGAAAAGGATCTCAAGTTGCGGCCCGTCTACCTTCCCGGCCGGCCCAACTTTCCGAGTAGATGATCACCCCAGATGAAAGTAGGCTCGAGACCTCAGACTGTGGACCGACCTTCTATGCTCACCCTCCTCATTCCCACCTGCAGACCCGGCCATATCCACAGGCCCCCGGAGGGCCCTACGTTTGTATCCTTCCACAATTGCCCTCTATTGGACTTGTCCCGAGCTCCGGCACGGTTCCGTTAGCCTGCTTACTCAGTAGCTTAGCTACGGACAGCTGGGCCCGGGCCCACGATGCTTAGTTGGCTGCGCCTCCCCCTAGGCGATAGTCATGGTCTCTACCACCTATCCACCTTGTAGAATATATGGAAACACATACACGCTCGGATGCAATCTCGACCAGCGCCTGTACCTTTGGGTCTCCATGAGAGACCCAATGCATGTATGTTCCAATGACACTAACAGGGATTTTATTGTTTGACTGTACCCTATATGCTGACTCCTTGCCTATGTTGCCCTGCCATGGGGACATGGTGTGAGAGAGGCCCTAATAGGTAAAGGTGTTCCAAGTGGGATGGGACAGAGAAATTTGCAGCAGGTTACCTGGTATATCATGGAACACACAAAGGTGTTCTAGATTTTCTTGACATTAGATTCATATATGTGACGGCTGTTGGCCAAAAGCTGTGAAAGTGTGGACAGAGCCAGATCAAGTGTGAATGAACAGGATGGAGTATGTTTTCGGCAGGCTGTCAACCAGTTTGATGGCCCCCTATGCTTCTTAAGTACAGTATATGCAGGGCCGGATTTCCCACAAGGCCACCTAGGCCCGGGCCTCAGGGCGGCAGGGAGCAGAGGAGCAGCAGGTAGGTGGAATCTCCCGTGGCCCGGGACATGGAGTTCCGGGCACCAGGCGGTAAGTTGTTTTCTACATTTAGCCCTGCTTTGGTCAAGCAGGGCTAAATGTAGAGTGGGGGAAGCTGCCAAGATCACTTGTAGTAAGACTGCATGACCAACCCCCCCTCACCTGCTGTGTACTTCTCTCCTCGCTGGCCGCCACTCTTTGGAGATCCTCAGGATGGAGAGCAGGGAGCAAAGCGGAGAATATCTGTTCTCTGCTCTGCTCCGTGTAAACAGCGAGGGGAGAGCTGCACTCACAGACTTCCCCTCTAAGCTATCACAGGAGTTCCAGCACAGTGCTGTGCTAGAACTCCTGTATTGTAATTGACATGTCCATTAAAGAGAGCCTGTCACCTCCAAATGCTATCACACAGGGGCTGGTTAGCTCCTGAGTAATAGCAATAAAGTTAAGTGGAAGTAAAAATGTATTTAAAAAAATTATTAAATAAATAAGGTTAAAAACAAAATAAGTACAAAAATAATAGGAAATACTAATTTATATGAAAAAATAAAGGTGATTTAAAAAGTAAAAAATTATTTAAAAAAATGATAAAAAATAAATAAGTAAAAAATAATAAGATAAAAAAATTATCAAAAGTAAAATATTATAAAATAAAAAATTATAAACAATAATAAAAGTAAAAAATTATGTAAAATATTTTTTTAAAAGTGATAAAAAAGTTAAAAAAATAAAGAAAACATTTTAAAAATGTTTTAACTAACTCTGTCACCCCCCCTATCTGGTTGCCATTCTCCATTAGGATGGGGGAGTTTGCAGGGACAGTTGGCGCATTGAGGAACCTGGCTTTGGGGCAGCAGAGAGATTAAATCCGGCCCTGATTATATGTAGATACTTTTATGTCCCTAGCCTGGGCACAAGTGCAGTTTAAAGATTTGCTAGCCCAGAGACTGTCGGTTCATCCTTAGCACAGATCTTTATAAAAAGAAATGTGCTAATTAACTGCTTAAAGTGTATGTAAACCCTGACAATGAACTTCCCCTATTTGCTCTCTTTTGGTCTCTTAGAAATATCACTCAAATCATTTTGTTATGTCTGTTTGATAAGCACATAAAAAAAATACCCGATGATCGTGTCAGGAATTCAGAGATGTCCCGTGTCCTGTACATACTTCCAGAAAGTCCTGGAGCAAAAGGCAAAAGAATAGGAGAAAGGACGGCATGACAGGGTGGGCAGGCAGTCAGGTAGAGAAAGGGTTAAGTTAGCCTAAGTAAGGTGCTCGGGTGTCACTTACCGTGATTGGCTGGGTCAAGTGGTCCAGGAGGAGCATCCAGGGTGGTTAGAGCAGGAGGAGGGGTGATCCAGGCAGTTGGGAGTCAGCACAAGGTCAGTTCACTTCCCGCCCTCCCTCCCTAACGTTTTTTTTGTTTTGTTTTTTTTTTGTTTTTTTCTGTTTACTGCTTGTTTTAA